ATGAATTTTGGAGAAGTGATTTTTGATTTACCTCCAACAGTGAAGCGTAATGTACGAAAGATTGAGAAAATTCGTGTTAGAATTATTAATCTTACTTTTTCGGTCATATTTAATAATATATATATATATATATATATATATATATATATATATATATATATATATATATATATATATATATATATATATATAACTGAAAACTCACACCCCAGAAGTGACTCGAACCCAAACTCCCAGAAGCAACGCAACTGGTATGTACAAGGCGCCTTAATCCACTTGACCATCACGACCGGACATAATGAGGTGATAGCCGAGTCGTGGACCATCCGGTCGTGATGGTCAAGTGGATTAAGGCGTCTTGTACATACCAGTTGCGTTGCTTCTGGGAGTATGGGTTCGAGTCACTTCTGGGGTGTGAGTTTCAGTTGCATATTGTCCTGGGGACCATTCAGGCTTGTTCGCATATATATATATATATATATATATATATATATATATATATATATATATATATATATATATATATATATATATATATATGTGTGTGTGTGTGCGTGTGTGTGTGCGTGTGTGTGTGCGTGTGTGTGTGCGTGTGTGTGTGCGTGTGTGTGTGCGTGTGTGTGTGCGTGTGTGTGTGCGTGTGTGTGTGCGTGTGTGTGTGCGTGTGTGTGTGTGTGTTTGTGTGTGTGTGTGTGTGTGTGTGTGTGTGTGTGTGTGTGTGTGTGTGTGTGTGTGTGTGTGTGTGTGTGTGTGTGTGTGTGTGTGTGTCAAGGTACGTACTGAATATGTCAGGAACATCACACGTCTTTTCCAGCAGCAATAATACACGGAAGCATCTCTTCTAATTCAGCATGTAATATTAGCACACTTCCGCGACCTTTAGGCATCAAAGCCTACATCCAGATTAGTTCCTTCGCAAAATGAGAAAAATCTGCCTCTCCAATTTTGGTGTAGACTAATCGTGACGTTTCTTAAACTGACCCTTTAATCACTTTCTTTAAAAAAATCTAAGCTTCTCTTACTGCCGAATTTTCAATGCCCTGAAATTTGCCAAGTTTGAGTAAACACGAAGGTTTTCCTGACAGTAACTTGGTCATTTTACTGCCTTGTTCACGCTCTGTTCTAGACAAACGAAGAACAAATTGTTATATTGTTAAAGATTGTTCTCCAAAATCTGTTAATTTGAATAAAATCTTAGAACTAAGTAACTGGGTTGTTTTATAGGACAGTTGAGGCTGTCTCACAGGCTGATGTTGTGGTGATTGTGAAGGGCTGGAAGTGTTAGTGTAGTTGCAAGTGATGATAATGATGGTGAGAGGTCGTGTGGTGATGGTGATAGAGGATGATATTCCATGAGGATGACAATAATAGTGAAAACTTTGAACACCGAAACAATTACCAGTATTACTGCAACCCCCACCACCACCACAACCACAACCCCCACCACCACCACCACACCAACCACAACCCCCACCACCACCACCACAACAAAATAACCACAACTACCACCACCACCACATCAACCCCCACCACCACCACACCAACCACAACCCAACCACCACCACCACACACAACAACAACCACAACTACCACCACAACAACAACAACCACCACCACCACCACACCAACCACAACCCCCACCACCACCACCACAACAACAACCACAACTACCACCACAACAACAACAACCACCACAACCACCACCACAACCACCACAACAACAACCACCACCACCACCACCACCACCTCAACAACCACCACAACAACAACCACAACTACCACCACCACCTCAACAACCACCACAACCACCACCACAACCACAACCACAACCCCCACCACCACCACCACCACAACAACAACAACCACCACCTCAACAACCGCCACCACCATCACCACCACCACAACAACAACAACAACCACAACGACCACCACCACCACAACAACAACAACCACAACGACCACCACCACCACAACAACAACAACCACAACGACCACCACCACCACAACAACAACCAACCACCACCACCACCACAACGACCACCACCAACACACAACAACCACAACTACCACCACCACAACAACCACCACCACCAGAACAACCGCCAGAAACCAGCTCCGGCAGCCAGAGCTTCAACACGCTTCACCTCTCATGTGACCAAAGGGTAAACATGGAGTGAGAGCGCCTTAGGAGAGTAACAAAGCCGGCGTGTGGGACACCACTTGTTAACCCACCTGGGCTCAGGGCCAAGCTGCCCTCCTCCTACCATGGCCTTGTCAAGCAGATTATACACAAGTGTTAACACCAGCTTGGATCAGACTCTCCGGGCTGGTCCGCAGACACTGCAGACCGTTTAAAACCAAGACCCGACGTCACCGTTTATATAAATTATGGACCTAAGTATGTTAATGCAAAATATAAAAATAGGGCCATCGAGTAGTGGTTGGCGAGTGTTTAGGAACCTTTGATGTGTGTGTCTGAACACCGCAGTGTGACCTGGATTGGTGCTGAGGTCGCTGCCTGGTGAGGTATAACAGGTGCTCAGGTGTGCTCAGGTGTGCTCACCGGGACGAGCTCGGCTTCTAGCTTCGCCTTCCGAAAGTATTTAGTTTACGATGGTTCGGTTCCTCCGTTTTTCTTATCATATTTACATGTCGTATTGTGTACTGAGTTAACCTCAACCACTTCTGTGTCTCATTCATTCCGCTTAACGACAACTTTAATACCGTAGAAGGTGTTCTGGCGTTTCTTGGCTTCATCTGTGTCGCCAGTCTCTATGACCTCTTCGGTCTGCAGTTCATGACTGTGACTTATACTTCTTAATGTCTGGTTCATGAATTCTGCTTAGAATCTTACATTTCGCTACCATGTCCCCTCTATTCCTCCCTCCCTCCTGCACTTCCCTCAGCCTTCCCTCTTAGCTTCGGTTCAGAAGATCTGAAACATGACTTCGTTCATATCTTGGGATCCTTTCTAGTTTTTCTTGAGAGGGTTCTGTAAAGGAATTGCATACTCAAGAGTGGTGGACCTCACAAAGGCTTTATATAGGACCCGGAAAGACTCCTTTGTCCATATTTGTGAAGACTACACGGACGGTGGTCAGGACGGTGGTCAGTTTGGTATAATTCGCTAACGTTATTCTCCTAATGTTTGCTCTTACCATTAGCAAATTCTTTCTCCTTTTCTGAACGAAGAATCTGTCTTCGCTTCATCCTGTAGAGGTCTTTTGGCTCTTGTTCTGATCCTCATAACGTTGCATTTGGCTGGGTAAATTTCTAGCAGCCACTTTTCACAACACCCCTGAAGTGTTAAAATCCTTTCTTAAAGTATCACAGTTCGCGTCTGTTTCGATTTTTGTCATTGGTTTTGCATTATTTGCAAACAGAGGAGGAGCTAATTTCCTACCAGGTCGTTGGCATATGCTTGAGAGAGGATAGATCTTGGTCCCGACCCTTGCGGCACTCCGCTCCTTAGTTCTTTCTCTTCACTTTTCTCTTCTCACTGTAGCCCTTTGTTTGTGTATCTAAGAACACACTGTTAGACTCCCAAGCCTTCATCAGTCCCCATAAACCTTCAACTATCCTCCCTACAACTCTCAACAATTTCCCCCACGACCAACAGCCATCCTCTACAATCTTCTCTCAGCTATCCCCAACAATAATTACCCATCCCACACAATCATCAACCATACACGGCCATCCCTCACAACAATCAGCCATCCTGCACACTCATCAACCATCCCTCCACAACAATCCCCTCACAACCATCACTCATCCCACACAATCATCACCCAATCAACCATCCCCCCACAACCTTTAACGACCCTTAACAACCAACCATCACCACCACATAAGATCAGAGAAAACTGCGAATGCAAAAAACTGCCTCATTATTAGCCTGTGAGGCAGCTTCTATTTGTATCTAACTACCGAATGATCTAATTGGGGTCTAACAAGGGCAAGATAAAGCTGAAGGATAACATATTGTATTAATAACACCTTATGTGTTAAATCCTTTATCTTTTTTACCTTATTTCGAACATTTATATATAATTTTTTAGGTTTAAAATCCCTTCTGTCCATTATGCTCTGGCATTATTTCTACTCAGATTTGGCAATTTTAGTATTGTTTTGTTGATATATGACAACAGTTATCGTTTATCAAGGCTTAGAGCCCGGCATCTGTCAGCCTTAAACTACACCTGCCAATCTTTGGTCCGTTGTCAACGTTTATCTTAGTCGCCTTGTAAGAATTTTGAGTCGTCTAAATTTATTTCTCGTCCTTAATAAGCGTCTCCCACCTCTCTTTATTACTACTTTAAAGTAATTACTTTACTACCACCTACCACTACCCACCTCTCAACTACCTCTTCCCCCTATCTACCAAACTACCAAGAAATATCCCGTTGTTGCTGTTAAAGATTCGCTACCTGGAACAAAGTTGCAAGTAGCACGGGCTATGGTGAGCCCGTAGGTCCTACAAAAGAAATATCCACAGAGCTACCAGCTCTTTCACCTAGTTGTGCTTGCGGGGGTTGAGCTTTGCTGTTTCGGCCCGCCTCTCAATTGTCAATCAACTGTTTACTATTGTTTTTTCTCTCTCTCCACCCCCCCCTCCCCAGGAAGCAGCCCGTGACAGCTGAGTAATTCCACGGTACTTATTTAATGATAATGTAGGTAACAGGGGCATTCAGGGTAAAAGAAACCTTGCCCATTTGTTTCTGCCTAGTGCGGGAATCGAACCCGCGCCACAGAATTACGAGTCCTGCGTGCTATCCACCAGGCTACCAGGCTCTTTGGATAAGTCTGCGTTAGCTTGTCGACAAATGCTGGTATTTGATCCAACAAGTTTCAAGGAACATTGGTCAAATCAACAAGGGAGAGGGGAAAATGAAGTCATATCACCTGCTTGTAACGATCACTTCAACTACTACCCCCCGCCCCCCCCATGCCTCCTACTATCCTTTAAGACGAGCTACCTTGGAACTATCTCCAGTAATTACCTGCAGGAGATGAAGCCGGCATCTCGCCGCTCCTAGAGGCCGCTCTGTGAGCGGAGAGTGATATACACATTGACTTGATAAACACAAGCGCTGATGAGGTCTGCCCTTCTCGGTGTGATTCTAATCTGTCGCGACACCAAACTTAGGGTGTCCAATCTCTTATGATAGCAAACTCTGGTAGTACGATAACAGTGTGTGATAATGTATGAGATTAGTATGATAATGTATAATGTTCATATGAGAATGAACATGTATAATCTATATATATATATATGATAATGTATGAGCATTTATAATGTAATTATGAGCATGTATAATATAAATATGATCATGTATAATATAAGTATGAGCATGTATAATGTACGTATGAGCATGTATAATATAAGTATGAACATGTATAATATAGGTATGAACATGTATAACTATGAGCATGTATAATATAAGTAGAACATGTATAATATACGTATGAACATGTATAAGTATGAGCATGTATAATGTAAGTTGAGCATGAATAATATAAGTATGAGCATGTATAATGTAAGTTCAGCATGTATAATGTAAATTGAGCATGTATAATATAGGTATGAACATGTATAAGTATGAGCATGTATAATATAAGTGTGAGCATGTATAATATAGGTATGAACATGTATCACATAAGTATGATGATGTACAATATGATACTGTAAACAAAGACTTGAAGATCTACAAAAAAGAACGTTACCGGAATCTTCCAGAGACATCTAGGGATTGTAACTGTGGCTCTGTGGCTGTATCAGAGCAGTTAGTAGACTTTTACAACACGGGTTTAACATTATCGAGGACAGGAAACTCCCCCGTCACTCCCCGTCACCCCCGTCACCCCCCGCAACCCCGTCACCCCCGTCACCCCCATCACCCCCGTCACCCCCGTCACCCCTGTCACCCCCGTCACCCCCGTCACCTCAGCTAATACGTCGTTATGGTTACCAACTTACTGCATGCAACGTCTATGATAAATGGCGGCGCACTTCCACGTTTTCTATGTATCGATTGGTTGGGTTAGGTGGGTGACATGGGTTAGGTGCATTTCTGGTTAGGTTACGATGGTGGATTTTGTACGTTGGGGCAAAACAATTGAAGGGGCTGTACGGGAAGCCTGTTAAACTTTTCTATGGTTCGGTAGGCCAGCTTGTGACTGTTCCCAGAATGCAACCCACAACAGTCGCCTAACTTGCCGGTACAAATTGTGACTGTTAGGTGGACGTGTTATCCTGCGCGGGAATGAAACCCGGGACCATGCGGAGGCAGCTAGTCCAGTTGGTCTTGCCGCGTTGTGAAGGAGATTAAGTTGCGGTAAGGAGCTGAGCCAGTTGTTACGTCTGGTGATTCTGTCATGAAGGTGATCAAGCCACCAGGCGCGCATGCCTACACCTGCGCATGCCTACACCCGCGCATGCCTACACCCGCGCATGCCTACACCCGTGCATGCGTACACCCGTGCATGCCTACACCTGCGTACACCCGCGCATGCCTACACCTGCGCATGCGTACACCCGCGCATGCCTACACCCGCGCATGCCTACACGGGTGCATGCGTACACCCGCGCATGCCTACACGGGTGCATGCGTACACCCGCGCATGCCTACACGGGTGCATGCGTACACCCGCGCATGCCTACACGGGTGCATGCGTACACCCGCGCATGCCTACACGCGCGCATGCCTACACCCCGCATGCCTATACCCACGCATGCGTACACCCGCGCATGCCTACACGCGCGCATGCCTACACCCGCGCATGCCTACACCCGCGCATGCGTACACGCGCGCATGCCTACACGCGCGCATGCCTACACACGTACTAACAACACCACCAAAAATGATTACAAACAGCTAAGCCAATATGGCTACACCACATAGTAGGGATAAGAGCACAAGAGAGAAGGTGGGATACAATACTTGAATGAAGACAGGGGGATCGAACTCCGACCTGCATAATGCAAGACCGTGGCTATACCGACCAGTCCATTTGAATAACCACACGCCCGAAGTCAGTGGCAGGAAGCCGCCAGATAGTCAACACACTACTGCTAAAAATGGCCGTAGCAGCGTCCGTCAGGGAGTTGTAAACAATGGGAGTGACAATAATTGCTGCTACATAACTGCCAGTTTGAAGAACGCTGAGCGTAATCAAACACAATATGGCCACTCGACGCTGTCACTCGTGTCTGAGAATCTTATTTGAATGTGCACTTGAATGTGTCACTCAAGTGAGGACATGTCGAGGATGAGAGCGCTTGAGTGTAGAGTTGATGAAGCTGATTTTAAATTTTCAGTTTTGCTCAACAAGTGTACAACACGAGAGAGAGAGAGAGAGAGAGAGAGAGAGAGAGAGAGAGAGAGAGAGAGAGAGAGAGAGAGAGAGAGAGAGAGAGAGAGAGAGAGAGAGAGAGAGAGAGAGAGAGACAGAGACAGAGAGAGAGAGAGAGCAGAGGGAAAACGGAAGGCTAAGAGAGATAGATAAAAAACGACACGAGGATACATTTCTTTCTTTCTTCCTGTTTCCCTCCCTATACAGGGTTCTACTGGGAGGTTTTGGTGGTGAAAAGGAAGGCGTTTCCAGGAGGCAGGTTCGTATAAAGGATGGAAATAATGACGCTGGCAGACGCAGCACGATGTGTGGGGGAAAAACATTGGGGTTAGGTAGTGTGGATCTTATTGAGAAGAGCAAGCAGGCGCACATGTGTGTAACGGGAGGCGAGGACGGCAGACAAGCGGGTAGACTTTACATTAGTGGAGGCAGGCAGGAGGCAGGCAGGGGGCGGGCAGGCAGGCAGGAGGCAGGCAGAGGGCAGGCAGAGGGCAGGTTAGCAGGCAGGCAGGAGGCAGGCAGACGACAGGCAGGAGGCAGGCAGACGACAGGCAGGAAGCAGGCAGGAGGCAGGCAGAAGGCAAGCAGATGGCAGGCAGAGGGTAGACAGGAGGCAGGCAGACGACAGGCAGGAGGCAGGCAGACGACAGGCAGGAGGCAGGCAGAGGACAGGCAGGAAGCAGGCAGATGGCAGGCAGAGGGTAGGCAGGAGGCAGGCAGACGACAGGCAGGAGGCAGGCAGAGGGCAGGCAGAGGGTAGGCAGGAGGCAGGCAGAGGACAGGCAGGAGGCAGACAGAGGGTAGGCAGGAAGCAGGCAGGAGGCAGGCAGAAGGCAGGCAGAGGGCAGGCAGGAAGCAGGCAGAAGGCAGGCAGGTGTCTTAAGTCTGAGACGGTCATCAGTACAGTGGACATGGAAAAGGATAATATGCAGGAAAGCAAATTGACATTTAATGGTGTTCGAACACATTGATATTCAGTGAGTTCATACAGGTTGACTGGTATTCAATGGGGTTCAAACAGGTAAATTGATATTCACTGAAGCAACATCACCGAGAAAGAACCCGGAAGACTAGGAAAATAAACAAGAAAACGAAAAAAAGAGCCAGGCTGGTAGACAACAGGTAAGGTGACAACCACTCAAGGTGACAACCTGTCTAGTACAAAGACCTATGGAGTCTAGCAGACGGCCAGAAGGGCGGTAGTGGTAAGTCTCCTGCAAGGCTCCTCGGAGGTTACCTAAAGACAACACCGAGAGCGAGCATGAGCCGTCTTGGACTATCGCTGCCACACACGCCTCTCTCGCCGTATTAGTAGCACGTGAAATAAAGATCCTGTCGGGGACCAAATCATTCAAAGGATGTCCAGCAGTAGTCACTCTTTTTAACGAATCACGATTAATTTTGAGATTAATAATATTTGCCCTGTTGTTCTCAAGAAACCATCTGTTTGTGGGCTATGCCAGTTTAGGAAAATTTAATTATCTTACAAATCTATTCGTGATTTTATTTCCGGTTAGTGAATGTTCTATTGAACATTGTGTAGATAAAGCGAGAGAGGAGCCGAGAAAGCGTTATACAACAGCAATACAAGTATGCAACACAAGAGGCCAACACATTGCACACTCCAGTTGCACAGGTGCAAGTGTCAGGCACATCCTAGGTCTATCTCAAAAGCCCAGGTCTACAATGTACCCCCCATGACCTAGGCCTAGGGAGTGAATATATTAGTACTCACTTCCATGCACCTCAGTCTTTCAAGGGTTCCGCTGGATCTATAAGTTAAAAATATTTTGCGAATAGTAAATATGGACTAGACACAAACTCTCTCACTCTCACTAAAGTTAGCATCATCGAACATAATATGCTATGCATATTATGCATAGAACATAATATGCTATGCATATTAAGCATATAACATAATATCCTATGCATATTATACATATTTATGCACCATTTACCGCCTGGAAGAATATGTTATTAGCTGCTATGAACAATACCATTCGCTTGGAGATCTTTGGTCTTGCCGTGTCTGACTCTAAGAGTCTATATGGAGCATTCTCAGCCTTCAGTAAGTCACTGGAGCATGATAGGAACATTCTCAGCCTTCAGTAAGTCACTGGAGCATGATAGGAACATTCTCAGCCTTCAGTAAGTCACTGGAGCATGATACGAATATTCTCAACCTTCAGTAAGTCACTCTGGAGCATGATACGAACATTCTCAGGCTTCAGTAAGTCACTCTGGAGCATGATACGAACATTCTCAACCTTCAGTAAGTCACTGGAGCATGATACGAACATTCTCAGCCTTCAGTAAGTCACTGGAGCATGATAGGAACATTCTCAGCCTTCAGTAAGTCACTGGAGCATGATACTAACATTCTCAGCCTTCAGTAAGTCACTCTGGAGCATGATACGAACATTCTCAGCCTTCAGCAGGCGTCAAACTGATCAATCAATCGTAGAAACTGAGCGTCATCGTATTTATTTCCATTCAGCGAAACTCTTGCCGTATTGACCGTCTTATTTCTCAGGTATCTTATTCTTCTTCTATTTCCCATGCTTCGTTTTCGGTTATATTACGGTCAGTGGGAAGTGTATCTCCAGGCCTCAGAGAATACGGGGAAAATTGATCAACTTCTCCTGGAAACTCAATAAAGGGGCTTGTGTGTGTTTTGCATTTTCTTGTTTTGTCCTGGTAACGTGTGTGTGTGTGTGTGTGTGTGTGTGTGTGTGTGTGTGTGTGTGTGTGTGTGTGTGT